AATTGGCACCTATATATGAGTGTCGCTAAAAGAAAACCCGAAAATTTAAATATGACTTATATTTAAATTTTCGGGGGTTTTTTTAGCGACACTCATATATAGATTGGATGTCTTTTACTGTCCCGTAATATACTAGCTCTAGTCCAATAGTAATTTATGTAAATTATATATACTATTAATAATATTTTTAAAATAAAAAAAAATTTAAAAAACTTTATTACCTACTGTAACTGAGAGAAATTTTGCAAGCAAAAAATATGCCTGCAATGTCTTTTTTAGTACTGAAATTTTAAAATGGATGAAACTTTCGTACTGAGACTTTTAATAAGAATAACGCTCTAAGCATAGATGATATTTTCTTTGTCAAGGTCGAACCATTAGTATGGGCTATATTACGAACTGGAATTACTAGTCTAACAATATCATGAACTACTAAAACTAGCTAGTTTAAACTTGAATTATCAGTTGTAAACTAGAATTGGGCCAAACAAGTTATTTAACATCCTATCTGCCACACAGATAAGACTAATTCAAAAAGAATTTTCTGTCATAATTGTATAACCAATATTGATATTAACTAATATATATTAATTTTATTTTGGTTTTTTATATAAATAAAAAATAATTAGAGAACAAAAAAAATTATACAGTCAACCCTCTACAGTAACCTCCTCCATAATCAAAAATTAATATAACTACAAATTTATTTTTGACAATTATTTATAACTATATAGAAGATACCTCTATATTAGTCACACCTCTTTATAATCCCGGTTTTTTGTATCCCAAAGGTGTGACTATAGAGGGGTTTGACTGTACTTCAATGAAGTAAATAATCAAGCATGTTGTAACAAATAAAACTATTGTCCAAACACAGTCAACTCTTTCTATAACGAACTAACGGTTCTGGAAGATTAAAAACTTTCGTTATAGAAAATTATTGTTTTCTTAAGAACTCATAGCACTTTCTATACCGAACTACTATGGAATTTTAAAATTTTGAGTTCGTTATATCCAGGATTCGTTATATAGAGGTTCGTTATAGTCAGAGTCGACTGTATTTGTTAGACACAAAAGTGCTCGGATAAATATAAAAGGTAATAAAAGTATAAATATAACACAAAATACGTTTCTAAAGAAACTTTCAACAAAAAACACTATAGTTAAAAACTCTAGAACTTTCCTTAAAAACTCTAGAACTTTCAATACACATATAATTAAAAACCCTAGAAATTCCAATATACCTATAATTAATCCTACAAATATGTTATATGTTTCTGATATAAAATTTGAAATTGTGTTTTTAAGATAAAATGGAATTTCTCTTATAAAATAAAATACAATTAACGCGAAATTTAAAATTTTGACTAAACAATAAGATGCTAACTCCTGTATTCTTTTTAAAGCTACATTTTCTCTAGAATTAGAATCCTCAAATGCTAAAACTTCATATTCTTTAACAGTAAACTGGTGTAAATTGGTTATTTTACAATAATAATCATTACGTTTACTGATTCCATGATTTGATTGCATGCATAAATCGAAATTTCCAAAACAGGGTCCATGATATTTATCACTCCAAATGGCCTTGTCATTTTTTCTTACAATTACTCTACTCAATATTGGGTTTGATTGGTCAGTAAATGAAAAAATAAAACTATCTGAAGTTTTATTAATATATGGTATCTCATTTAATCTAAAATATCCATTATAAA